TATATATATATATATATATATATAGATATATATATATATATATATATATAGGAAGGTAATTTGGGTATCTATAAGGATGAGGATGAGGATGATGATGATGATGATGATGAGGTTGTTCGTAATATATGTATTTGCAGAAAAGCCGCCCTTAATCAAGACAATATTCGAGCAGGAGTGCAATTGGTTCAAGACGATAAGCATGTAAGAAAGACTATACATTATATTATTTTACGATCGATTTTTAATATTTAATTACTAAAGTTGAAAAAAATATGTTCCAATTGCATGTAAATTAAATGTTTCGCAGGTTGTAATAAGCAATGGAATAGTTAGTATGAGATTGACAGTACCAGGTGGTTCTGTCACTAGTATAACTTACAATGGGAGTAACAATTTGCTTCTACCGGAATATAAAGAAGCCGATAGAGGGTATCGAATTTAAATTAAATTTGCATCATTTTATCATTTATATGCCTGTAATTTTGTCGAGAGGGGCTGCGGCCCCCAAGATTAAAAAAAAATTAAAAAAAAAATAAGTAATTTATAATTTGCTCTTTCCGAAAGATAACGAAGCGGATAGAGGGTATCGAATTTGCATCATTTTATATATCTTCGATATGCCTATAATTTATGATCAATATACAGCACATAAACATATACTTGTATATATATTATAACAGACAAGGTAAACTTAAATTACGAAAACATCCCTCTTCTTTATGTACGTAATTTTACATTTACTCCTAATATACATGTCATAATTGTCTAAAAGTCGTTTCCTATTTTGTGGGATCGAGGATAAAAGAGTTTTCTAGATTCCAAGAATATTCGTCATCAAATTCAAAATATAGGGGTGTAATTGAAAGAATTTTTATTTGACAAGGGGTTTAATTGTAATATTTATCTAATAATAAATATAGTGAATTTTAAAATATTGATGTTGAATAATGTAACATTGTGCTAATTAATAATTAATTGACAGACACTGGGATATTGTTTGGAACAAAACAGGGCAGCCCTATCAAACTGACAAGTAAGTATATATCACTAATTTAAATAATTATTTGATTAATTAAAGGATTTTTATTTTATTTTTTATTAATATTTTGTAATTCTCTCTTTAATTATGTGTGTGCAGTTTTGAAGGAACAAGTTATAAGGTGATAATGCAAAACAAAAATCAAACGGAGATTTCGTTCACCCGAACATGGACCTTCAACAGCACAGAAGCTCCTTTAAACGTCGATAAAAGGTATAATTAAATATCAATATTACCACCTTTTTTTAGATTTTTATTAATTTACCCCCAAAATTATTTTTTAACATTTGAAATATAATAATGCAGATTTGTAATGCTAAGAGACTCGCCTGGATTTTACACGTATGCTGTTCTCGAGCGTTTACCGGGATGGCCGGTTTTTTACATCCAAGAAGGAAGAGTCGTGTTCAAGCTCAACGAAAACATGTAATATATATATATATATATATATACAAAATCATGTAATATAATAACTTGTGATAAATTCATTTTTATATATATTGAAGAAAACATTTAATTTTTTAATTAAATTATAATAGTCTAGTTAATTAATTATTACATTATATGTACGTTAGGTTTCAATACATGGTTGTGTCTGATGAGAGGCAAAGGTACATGCCAAAGGTTAAGGATCGTACGAACGGGCAGGTGCTCGATTACAAAGAAGCTGTTCTTTTAACCAATGCAACCAATCCCGCGTTCAATCGAGAGGTAATTTTTTTTAATCATTAATCTTATTCACACTAATTAAGTAAATAAATATAAATTCAACATTTGCCTCTTAAACTAAATTGGTTTTTGCACTTGTGGAGATAAAGTTGAGTTTATTCGATATTTTATAAGCTACTTGATTCGACACCCCTTTTGTTATATCGATTGCAATAATTATGAAATAAAAGACCCCAATTTTTTTCTTAGCAGTTAACGAAAGTATAGGGGTGTTTTAGTAATTTTGTCAAAAAAACAAATTTTGTTGTTTTATTTAAAATATTGTAATATTTTTCACTAAATCGTCACAACACTTCATGTTTTTTTTTTTAAATCAAACTAATTTTATAAATTTCTCATACTTTTTATTTTATTTTATGTATGCGTGTAGTTCTCATTTACAACACTTCTGGCTTGCTCTTTTAACCCTAGATTGAAATTAATTTTGAAAAACAAAATATGTATTAATTTAAATATTTTATTGTTGAAATTACATGTATATTATATAGGTGGATGATAAATATCTATACACATGTATAAATTATTTTATTGTTGAAATTACATGTGTATTATATAGGTGGATGATAAATACCTATACACATGTGACAACAAAGATATAAAGGTTCATGGATGGGTAGGCAGCAACCCTTCATTAGGGTTTTGGATGATAACACCATCCAATGAATTTCGGACAGGTGGACCTCTCAAACAAGATCTCACCACTCATCTCGGTCCAACTGTACTCCATGTAAGTACAGTAGATCAGAATTTCGATAAATTAATATTTAATAATAAATAATTACAATATTATTTAATATTTCAATTTTTAATTACTAATGACTTAATTATGTGCTTGAAAAAAAAAGTATTTTACTAGCACACATTATTCTGGAGAAGTTTTAGCAATCAAATTTAAAACCGAAGAATACTGGAAAAAAGTTATTGGACCAGTTTATATCTATCTTAATTCCAATGATTTCGCAAACGCCGATCCTTCCGTACTTTGGATTGACGCCAAACAAAGGGTACGAACAATGTTTATTTAATTTAATTATATTCATCAAAATTCAAAAAATAGTTAAATCATAATTTTAATATATATACATTTTGAATGATTAATTATCAGATGCAAAAGGAGGAAGCTAGTTGGCCATATGAATTCCCACTTTCGGACGACTTCGTTAAATCGAATCAAAGGGGAGCTTTAAGCGGTCAATTACTTGTTCGCGACTGGTAATTATTGATCATTTGTATAACAATTGAGACGTAAAATCAAATTTAGATGCTTTGTCAATATAATATAATTATGTATAGGTTCGTTAACAAGCAAGCTGTGCCCGGTGCATCGGCCTATGTGGGATTGGCACCACCTGGAAAAGTTGGCTCATGGCAATTTGAAAACAAGGTTGATTTATTTTTGTAATTATTTTTTTCTAGCAAGATTCTTTCATATTAGAAAAGGAATAAAATTTTCTAGAATTTTGATTTTTTTTTATATATATATAAATAATTTCAGGGCTATCAATTTTGGACAAAAACAAACAAAGACGGAAGTTTTTCGATTAAGAACGTAATACCCGGAAATTATAGTTTGTTTGCATACGTGCCTGGATTCATCGGAGATTACAAACATGCTTCAGACATCACTATCACACCTGGATCCAATATTCAAGCAACTAATGTTGTTTTCGATGCTCCAAGAAACGGTCCCACGTTGTGGGAGATCGGAATTCCCGATCGATCGGCCGCCGAGTTCTTCATTCCAAACACAGATTCAAGATTCAAGATCCATCAATACAAAAAACCCGTTGAAAGGTTCGATCTTCAAATCCTTAAAAAACTCAATATATTTAGGCTTTTACTGCCATCTTTAAAAAAACATTATTTATAAGATAGAGTAATATGTCTATATTGTCAGTCATGTACGTAAAATTCTGGCTCCGCCACTTACTGCTGATTTTAGTTCTTGATTAATTAATTAACAGGTTCAGACAGTACGGACTTTGGGAGCGTTACGAAAAATTGTACCCACGAAAGGATCTAGTTTTCACAATTGGATCTAGCAATTATAGTAAAGACTGGTTTTTCTCTCAGGTTACGAGGTTCGTACACCGATTTTATTTTTGATTTCGTCTTATTTTTCCTTTTATTTTTAGTGATATTATATATATAAGTATCATTTTGCATGTCAGGAATGTGGGAGGAAAATTCGTAGGAACAACATGGCAGATATTTTTCAACGTTAAAAACGTCGAAAAAACGGGAAATTATACTCTCCAATTGGCCCTTGCATCGGCACACTTTGCCGAATTACAAGTACGACGAGACCTTCCTTAATTTGTTCCTCCTATATATGTAGTAATTGTACAGAAAATTTAAAAGATTATATGAAATTTATTAAACTCTAAAACATTATATAGTACATTTAATATAATTAAATAAAATTTAATAAAAAAATATTATCCATGCAAAAATTGCTAAACAATTACGAAAAATAAAAGTCAAGAGCACTTGCAAGTTATGTAGCATAGAAACTTCAACTGCTTAAAGTTTCTGCATTTTGGAAACGTTTTGTGTCCGATACTCGAGGAAATTTGTCGGACACTTTATGGCCGCTTTGCAATTTCTAAAAAGTTAGAACATATTTGAATAACAATTTTTAAAAAAAAATTGTCGCCTCCCTAATTATTTACATGATTTAGTGATCAATGCAAATGAAAG